TGGGCTTTGCTTCTGTGAAGACTGACAGCCTTGGAGACCCTGTGGGGCAGTTCCACTCTGTCCTCTAGGGGCGCTGTGGGTCAGAATCGACTCCACGGCAGTGGGTGTGGTTTGGGCTTTGCTTCTGTGAAGACTGACAGCCTGGGAAACCCTGAGGTACAGTTCTAGTCTATTACATTGGGTTGCTATGAGTCAGAATTGGCTCAACAGCACACAACAACAACAGGACACACCTCATACTGTGATACCACTATTTTACACACACTAAAGATGAAAATATCATATGTATTTTTGTCATAAACTTCTATTGATAAATCTATAAGGAAGGAAAAAAAAGCATGCAGTTGAGCAATGAAAGATGGAAGCATTAAAAGTAAGCTTCTACACCTTTCATAAAAATTTAGAAAATTCTCATTGTGTGTGTGTATGAGTAGTACGAGTATATGGTAACAAAGCCAATGAACAGTTCTGGGGTGGTCCCAGCAGGTATTTTCATGTGGCCACATCATGGCTTCTTTGTTATTAGTGACACAAGAGAGAGCAAGCTGAGTAATTCCCCAAACAAACGCAGGAAGGAACTGCGACAGATTTCCTTGCAGAGCTGTTTTTAAAACCCCAAAATATAGCTCATGGACAAGTGAGACATCAGAGCTCCATAATCCTCACAAAAATGTCAACTGCTCTTATCGTCCGGTGGCCCCTCAGCCAGCCGTGGGCTCAGGTTTGTCTCCATTTAATACCACCTTCGGTGTCACTGATCAGGGTGGTTTGTGGCTGTTCCTGTGGCTTTATTTACAAAGCAGCAGGGGTGAGGAGACACAGGCAGGGGCAGATGGCCTCCTGGCCACAAAGAAGACAAACAAGGTCATTCTGCTTCCGCACTGCGGCCTTGGACAGTGACAGCCATTTTGCACCGTCATTGGGGTTGCCAGGTGCCTCTTCAGACCCATTCTGTTTGCTCCATGCTGACCCCATCCAGGTAGAAGTATGTACCAGCACTAGTTAGAGACAAGAAAGGCAACACTCAGTGCCTTAAGTTGAGGAACCCAAAATTCTAGTCTCTCAACGGCTAGCTGACAGACCCTCAGTGTTCTTTAAGAAGGCATGGTGGTACAGAAGTTAAGCACGTGGCGGTTCAGACCCACTTGGCAGTTCCACGAGAGAAAGACCTGGCAATCTGTTCCCGTAAAGATGATGCCAAGAAAACCCTGTGGGCAGAGGACCTGAAGCTACTTCACCAAAGAAGGTCTTCAGGTGGCCAGCAAATGCCTGAAAAGACGCTCCCGCGACCATCAGCCAGTCCAGGAAAAACAAACTCACTGCCGTAGCTGCCGAGTCTGTTCCAACTCACAGCGACCCCTCCCCTTTGGGTTTCTGAGGCAGTTATCTCCACAAAAATGGTTTGCCCAGTGTCGCTTCCGACATTAGCCAGTGGAGAGATGCAAATCAAAACTACAGTGAGATACCGCCCCACCCTGGCAATGATCCAGAAAAACAGCACCAGATGCTGGTGAGGCTGTGGGGAAATGAGACCCTTAAACTCTGCTGGTCAGGGTGCAAAACGGCGCACCCCCTGTGCACACAGCGGAACGCGCTTCCTTCAAAAGCCGCAAATAGAGCTACCATTTGGTGCAGCGATCCGACTCCTAGGCGTATGCTTGAGAAATAGGGGTGGCACTGACATACGCGCACCCATGTTCATCGCAGCACTAGTCACAACAGCGAACAGGTGCTGACAGCCTGAATGTCCACCAACAGAGGAATGGATCAGCACACCATGCTATGTACGTACAATGGAATACTACACAACAGTAAAAAATGATGGATCCACAAAACATCTCACAGCGTGGATGAGTCTGGAAGACATTACGCTGAGTCAGATAAGTCAACCACAGGAGGATAAATATCGTATGAGAGATTCTAGTAGGTTTACACGCAGAAAGAAATATTCTTTGCTGGCTATCAGGTAGGGAAGGAGGAGAGAGTGAGAGCTTCCTAGAGAGTAGACCAGAGTTAACTGCGGTGACAGGAAAGGTTACACACGGTACGGGGAAGTCAGCACAGCATGACCAAGGGAAAGGAAGACAGAGGTACACAAGCATACAGGACAACTACGGTAACTGCTGTGACAGAGTCCCGCAACCGCAGTAACACCTGTCAATAATGTGTGAGTAAATACATAGCTAGGAGCTCTGGTGGCATAGTGCCTAAGGCCTCTGACTGCTAACCAGAAAGCTGGTGGTTCAAACCCACCAGCCACTCCTCGGAAGGAAGGTTGAGCAATCTACTTCTGTAGAGATACTGCCTCTGAAACCCAAGGAGGGGTCGCTGAGTTGGATCCAACTCAAAGGCAGTGAGTGGTTTGGTTTTGGTTTGGAAATACATAGGTAAATATGCTAAGCAGGTGAGGAGGTGGTACGGGAGGACACTCACATACTTGCATAGGTATAGTGGTGGAAACTTCTACATACATAGTAAATGCAATATGGATAAGAAGACTGAAGAATTGATGCATGTGAATTGTGAAAAACATTGAAAATACCACGTTCTGCTAGAAGAACAAGCAAATCTGTCTTGGAAGAAATAAAGCTGGAATGTTCCTTAGAAGTAAAAATGGCCAGACTTCTTCTCACCTACTTTGGTCATGGTGTCAGAAGGAACCAGTCCCTGGTAGACAGTCAGGGAAAAAGGTGGATACCACAATGGGCTCAAGTATAGTGTGAGGATGACACAGGTCCACCCGGGCAGCGTTTTGTCCTGTTGTGCACGGGGTTGATGAGTCGGAACCAACTCAACGGCACCAAACACCACCATGGGTAGACTCGTCTATGTAACAGAACACACAGGGGCCACAGTTACAGAAACTTCTCAGCTCTCAAGACTTCGCCACTGGAAATTTGCAAACCTAGAAGAAATGTACAAATTTGTAAAAACACAAGACCTATCTAAACTAGCACAACTGAGGTAGAAAATTTGAGCAGACCCATAACAAAGAAAGAAATTGAGCAGATCACACACAAAAAACTACCCCCTCCCACAAAAAAAAGTCCTGGCCCAGATGGCTTCACTGGAGAATTCCATCGAACGTTCAGAGAAAAGGTGACACCTATCCTGCTCACACTATTCCAGAACATATTCCAAATTCATTCTATGAAGCAAGCATAACCCTGATTCCAAAATAAGACAAAGACACCACTAGAAAGGAAAAGTACAGACCAGTATCCCTCATGAATATACACACACAAATCTTCAACAAAATCCTTGACAAAACACACCAACACTATATCAGTAATAATCATCATCATGTAAAGTGACCAAGTGTGATTCATACTTAGGTATGCAAGGATGATTCAGAGTTAGAAAAACATTCACCACAGAAATAAAACAAAGGACAAGAACCACATGATCCTATCAATTGATGCAGAAAAGGCATTTGATAAAATCCAACACCCATTCCTGATAAAAACTCTCAGCAAAATAGGAACAGAAAGGAATTTCTTCGCCATAATAAATGGCAGATATGCAAAAGCAACAGCCAACATTATTCTCAAGGAAGAGAAACTGAAAGCATTCCCATTGTGAATGGGAACCAGACCAGGATGCCTGCTACCACCACTTCTATTCCACATTGTATTGGAAGTCCTAGCCAGTGCAGTAAGGCAAGAAAGAGAAATAACAGCATCCAAATTGACTAAGAAGAAATAAAACGATCTTTATTTGAAGATGGCATGATCCTATATGCAAAAAACCCGAGAGATTCAGCAAGAAAACTACTGGAACTAATTGAAAGATCCAGCAAAGTAGCAGGATACAAGATCAACATACAAAAGTCAGTTGGATTCCTTTACACCAGCCAAGAGATCTCTGAAAAGGAAATCAGTACCATTTGCAATAGTTACCAAGACGATAAAATACTTGAGATTAAATCTTAACCAGGGACACAAAAGACCTATACAACTAAAACTACAAAACACTGCTACAAGGAACTGCAGGAGAGCTACATAAATGGAAGAACATCTCATGCTCATCAATAGGAAGCCTGGACATTGTGAAAATGTCAGGTCTACCCAAAGCAATCTATACATTCAGTGCAATCCCAATCCAGATTCCATCAGCATTTCTTAAGGTTATAGAAAAAACAATCACTGATTTTATATGGAAAGGAAAGGGACCTCCAGTAAACAAAGCACTTCTGAAAAAGAAGAACAAAGTAGGAAGTCGTACACTCCCTTATTTCAAAACCTACTATACAGCCACAGTAGTTAGAACTGCCTGCTACTGGTATGACAACAGGCACATAGACCAGTGGAACAGAATTGAGAACCCAGAAATAGATCCATCCATCTATGGACAGCTGATCTTTGACAAATGGTGCTGGCAAAACTGGGTATCCATTGGCAGTAAAATGAAACAAGGTCCCTATCTCACACCACACAAAAAATCAAACTCAAGACAGATTAAAGACTTAAATGTAAAACCCAAAACTATGAAGTTCATCAAAGATAAAATAGAGGCAAACGTAGGGGCCCCAATTTATGGCATAAATAGACTGTCAAGCATAATCCAAGATGCACAAACGGCAGAAGGGGTACTAGATGACGACCCAACCAGTCACCAAACTCACTGCCGTCAAGTCGGATCCAACTTAGGGCAACCCCTCCTTGGGTTTCCAAGGAAGTATCTCTACAGAACTGGATTTCCCAATCTTCCTTATGAGGAGTGGGTGGAGGGTTTGAACCACCAAACTTCTGGTTAGCAGTCAAATGTCTTAGGCACTGTGCCACCAGAGCTCCTAACTAGATGACTAGGACCTTCTAAAAATTAAATTCTTACCCCAAAAGAGTAAAAAGAGTACATACAGATTGGGAAAAAATAAAATATTTGGCAACAACATATCTGACAAGACACTTAGCTCCAAACTTTATAGAAAATTCCAACACCTCACCAACAAAAGAGGAACATTCCAATTAAAAAATGGGCAGTGGACTTTTCACCAAAGAAGATAATTTGGGTGGCCAACAAATGCATGAAGAAATCCATTAGCCATTAGAGAGATGCAATTCAAAACAACCATGAGATACCACCTCCCCCAACATTAATAGCAAAGTTCAACAAGACAGAAAACACACAGTGCTGGTGGGACTGTAAAATGGTACAACCACTGTGGAAACTGGTATGGCAATTCCTTAGAAAGTTGGAGATAGAAATACCATTTGATCCATCAATCCCATTACTAGGTATATATCCTAAACAAATGAGAGGCAGGACATGAAGAGATCCATGCATAACCATGTTCATCACAGCACTATACACAAGAGCAAAGAGAGGGAAACAATCTAAGTGCCCATCATCCGAGGAATGGATAACCAAACTGTGGTACATACACACAATGGAATTCTATGCAACCCTAAAGAATAATGTAGAATCTGCAAAACATGGATGAACTTGGAGGACATTATGCTGAATAAAATAAGTTAATCACAGAAGGACAAATATTGTATGAGTCCATTATTATAAACAGTCAAGGAAAAGTTCACACAGTGATGCAGATTTTCTTTGTTGGTTACCAGGGAAAGGAGGAAAGGGGAAGGGAAGGAAAATAGATGGGTAGTTAAGAGATAGGTTTGATATGGGTGAAGGGAGAAGCAATATAACAAAAGCATACAAGTAGCATGGTATCACTAAGGAAAAGGAAGACACAGAGGTACACAAGATGTACAGACAATAAAGGCAAACACTATTGCAGACACAGTAGTGCAGTATTAGTAACAGTAAACACTAATCTACGGGTGGATACACAGGTAGACAGGCAATATGGTCAGGTATGGCTAGGTGCATGGGAACACACCCACAACCATACATAGGTTTAGCAGACATTTTCCCTACGTGTGTATCTGTATGTGCTATTAAAATGTCCATTGTTGTCATCGTTATGTTCCATCAAGTTGGACCCAACTCATAGCGACCCCTCCTGGCATTTCTGAGGCAGTATCTCTACGAAAGTAGATCGCCCAACCTTCCTTCTGAGGACTGGCTGGTGGGTTTGAACCGCCAGCCTTCTGGTTAGCAGTCAAGTGCCTTAGGCACTATGCTACCAGAGCTCCTAAAATGCCCATATGCAGTTTAAAGCTGACATGGGTAAAGTTAGGATAACTTCTTAGCCACAACTGAGTACCTTGAAGGAGTGAGTCACTGGGCCTGCAGGCTGGGTACCATGGTCATAGGGGACATCAAACTCAACTGGCACAGCATGGTACACAAAGACACTGCTCAACGTCTTATTTCACTGAGTAGCACCTGGAATCTTAAAAGCTGGCAAGTGGCCATCTAAGATGCGACTCTGGGTCTCTCCTCATCCGGAGCAAAGAAGAGTGAAGAAAGTCAAAGATGGATGGAAACCAACCAAAGGACTAATGGACAGTGAGAACCTGAGCCCATACAACCCTGAGACCAGAAGAACTAGATGGTGCCTGGCTACCAATGCCAACCACTCTGAAAGGGATCAAAATTGGAGATCCTGGATGGAATGGGAGAAAAATATAGCACAACACTCAAAATCATAACAAGACCAAGTTTACTGGACTGATAAAGACTGGTGAACCCCTGGAGACTATGGCCCCATGTTACCCTTTGGGCCTGGCATTGAACTCGCTCCCATGGCTTAACTGTCAACCAAACATTAGACAGGCCTACGAGCTGAACACCTACACCAGGGAGATGCACTCCTTAGGACAGTCGACCACAGGAGATCAGAAGGGCAGCATTTGCACAGGGAGAAAGGTAGGGAGGCGAGAATGCAGGGGCAAGAAGGACACAGGGAAGAGGGACCACAGGGAGGAAGTGGGAGTAGAGCTGTTACACTGTGGGAATATAAGCAGGGTCACAGACCAAAACGTGTGTCAACTGTTGACTGCGAAACCAATCCGCTTTGTCAAATTTCATGCAAATCACAATAAAAAGTTGTTTCTTTTTTAAAAAAAGACTTAACTGTTGGACATGATGGCTACAGGCCATAACCTCATGGAACAGCGAGGTCAGTTGGCAAAACACAGTTCATAAAGATAATGCCCTACGTCCTAGGTAGGTGAATGACATCTGAGGTCTTAAAAGCTTGCAGCGGCTGCCTACGAAGCCTCTTCCCACTTGGAATACAGGAGAAGGAAGAAAAATGGAAACTCAAGGAGCAGTTATTCCAAAGAACTAGCACCCTACCTAAATCACAGCCTCCTGAAAGCTGAGACCAGAAGAACCAGATGGTGCCCCGCTGCCACTACCAACCTCTCTGATCAAGACCCCGACAGAAGGTCCCATTAGAATCGATTAAAAAAAGTAGAATAAAATTCAAGGCCCTCCCCGCCAACACCCTGAAAAAAAAAAAACAGACTTAATGGTCAGAAAGAGATTAGAGGCATCCCCAGAGACTTCTGTCCTGAGCAGACCTAACTTGAACCTGAAGACACTCCTGGAGGCCACCTTCCAGCCAAGTAATAGACACAACTGTGCACCACACACACACACAGACACACACACCCTGAAGACCACTCCTCAGAACAGTTCCCTCTAGGAGACCAACAGGCCAGGGTTTGCCCCAAACCAACCATGAGCAGACAGGGAGGGACAGGGCAAGCGGACCAATGGGAACCGAGATACATATGGAAACAACTGATTTTATGTAACGTCAGCCTGTGTTCAAGAGAGGCTGGGTCGCAACACAGGCAAGTTCCTTTGCAATTTATTATTTCCAGGAGGTTCTATCCAAACGGCCCCGTAAAAAGAACACAAGAAATAGAAGTTCATTTTTAAGAGCTTCACATGTGAAGTTGTTTAGTTTTGTTTTTGTTGGGGATGGGGGGGGTTACTTCTGGTTACTTTTAGTGTTTTGTTGTTGTTTAAAATCAATAGAACAGGAACTTAAGTATCAGTTATGGGTGTGACTTCTCAGCTGTTGTTGTTGTTATGTGCTGTTGAGTCGGACCTGACTCACAGCGGCCCCTCCTTGGGTTTCCGAGGCAGTATCTTCATGGAAGTAGATTGCCCAACCTTCCTTCTGAGTGGCTGGTGGGTTTGAACCACCAGCCTTCTGGTTAGCAGTCAAGTGTCTTAGACACTAAGTTAATCTCCTGAAATTCCCTGCTTACTGGCTTTTCTTATTCATCAGTCCTGCTTTCCCTCTGAAGGGGTTAAACCGTTTGCTCTCACACTTGATTCTGTAAGAACACATCTTGACATCATTGCCCCTGAACCTATCATTGATACGAATGCCATGGGGCTGTGTGGAGGGAGGGTGCATCCTTTTGAGCCACACTCAGTTTGGAAACAATGAGAAAGTCTGTTGGCGGCCCCTAGTCTGTGTGTGAACACATGCCCAATTGTTTTCACACACGCACACCCACAAACACGCACCCATGGAGGTGGGGTGCCAGCTGCCTTCAGAGGCAGCAACTTGACTCCTGAGAGTTTTCCCGGACTCTCTGCACCAAGTTTAATCTGAAGGCACCTGTCCAACATAAATAATCAAAGAACGTTCTAAAAATACCCACTTAAGGAATTAGGTGTGAGCTGCAAAGCCAGTGCCCGGAAGGGCCCGTGGCAGACGGGGCGGTACAGGCAGCCGAAGGGAGACGCTTCTCAGGAGGCACCTCTGATCCCCAGGTGGTCTTCTCGTCCTGCGGGGACGCCGACCTGCTGGAGCACCAGGCCAGCCTGGTCTCCTCCGAGGACGGCCCCCGGGAGCAGGAGAACATGGAGGACACCAACAGCGAGCAGCAGTTTAGGGTCTTCAGGGACTTCGACTTCCTGGACGTGGAGCTGGAAGATGGAGAGGTACGTGGACCTTGTCTGTGCCCGTGGGAAATGGTTTCTTTTTCCCTGCTGAAGAGTGAGTTTTGTGCCCTAGGGGCTTGAGTTGGGAAGCTGTGAACTTTTGTTTGAATCAACTTACTCTTAGTGCAGCTGGCTCTGTAGCTTTGGTAAAAGTCACCACGCCCTTCCTGAGGCCACAAAGCTGCCAAGTTAGTGCTGAACGGCAGAGGCCTTTATTTAATAGCGTGTGTGTGTCCCAAAGGTGAACTTGAAAAGAAAACTATCAGAGAAACCCTCACATTCTCAGCCTGCTTGTTGGTTCCTGAGGAAACATGCTAAGCCTTGAGTTATTTTCAACACGCAGTGGCTCTAACTCCCCGACTTCAAGCTGGCCTGCTAAGCGCGAGACAGAGCCTGAGGGCCCCCGTTTCTGAGCCGCCTTTGTTGAAATTACTAGCACTTTAGGTCAAGCAGTTCTCGAGGTCTTGCCCAGCCTCAGGTCAGCAGCCAGGCGTCCGGGACACCTGGAGCGTCTGCCTTCAAGTCCCAACCAGTCAGTGCCCATGTTTCCTCTGCATGACGGTCACTGCACAGGGATGCTTCCGGCGATGAATCATGTTCTTGAAAATTGGGCGGAGAGGAGGATTCTCTCCACCCCACCCCCCAAAACCACCATCATTTTAAGATCATGTTAAGGGTATTCATGGAACCCTGGTGACACAGTGGTTAAATGCTCGGCTGTTAAATGAAAGGTGTACAGTTGAAATATATCAGCCACTGCACAGGCAGAGGAGGCAGTGTGCTTCCTCAAAGATGACAGCCTTGGAGACCCTGTGGGGCAGTTCCACTCTGTCCTCTAGGGGCTCTGTAGGTCAGATTCGACTCCACGGCAGTGAGTGTGGTTTGGGCTTTGCTTCTGTGAAGATTAACAGCCTTGGAAACCCTGTGGGGCAGTTCCACTCTGTCCTCTAGGGGCGCTGTGGGTCAGAATGGACTCTCCTGGAATGGGTTGACTAAGGGCATGTCCCACCTGAGAGATAGTCTTTTGCTTTGTGAAATGAAAATAAAATTGACTTAAATGAGATTAAACTAATTTACCAGTTGCCCTTGCGCTGATTTTGACTCAAAATGAGCCTGTAGGCCCAAGTGGACGTGGGCTCCACAGGATTTTCAGTGGCTGATCTTCTGAGAGTCGATCACCGGGGCTTTCTTCCAAGGCATCCCAGGGTGAAATCAAACCTGTAGCCTTTCAGTTAGCAGCCAGTGTGTTAACCACTTGCAATTAGCATACACACAAATGCCTGGCTCCTGATGTTACTCAACAAGTCAGATCACGTTGAACTGCACACTCAATTCCTCAGATGAAAGGGCTTTCTGCTAGTCTTACAATGAAAATGGAGACCCACATTCAAAATTTCTTATATCCCACGGAGGAAGTTGTTGTTGCAAGGTGCCACCGAGGTGATTCCGGCACACGGCAACCCCACATGACAGAGACGAATGCCGCACGGGGTTCTCCTTGGCTGTAATCTTAACGGGAGCAGATCACTAGGTCTGTCTGCCACGGAGCTCTGGCTGAGCTCACAGCCCTCACTTTCATTTCGCAGCAGAGCGCTTAACTGTTGTGCCACCAGGGCTCCTTGATGGAGCTGGAGGCTTCCTTTTCCTGTCTCGGGGCGGTTCTGCTGTGTCATCCGGGGTTTCTGTGAGTTGGAACGGACTGCACAGCAACTCACAGCAGCCTCGGAATGTCCTGAATGCTGTCTGTAAGGGCTTGCCCTTGAACTTCGCGGGGTCCTTGCGAGGTGCTGTGTTTCAGGTATTAATCGCACGTCAGCAGGAAACACTCCAGGGTCACACGCACTCTCAGCTCTGCGGGCAGGGTCAGGCGGTACTCCCATTTCTCCCAGTGGATGACTCGCATCCGTTGTCCTTCAAGTTTCCTCACACGCCGGTATTTAGGCATTCCAAAAAAAAAAAATTAGAAAAAAACCAACAGACCAAAGTTGTCACTGAAGTGAAAAGCTATTTCTGAAGCTGTGTTCATGATTCCTCACCCCAGCCACCGCCGGCACACGGAGGTCTGCATCGGCCACTGTTTGAAAAGCTTTTTGCTTTGTGCGTCTTTACCTTGTGTCGTCGGTGCAGCTACCAAAGTCTGTGTATCGGTAGGACTGCTAACTCGCTGTGAGGTTAAAACTGAGACCTATTAAGTTAAAACCTGCGTGTCTTTAATACCATCATTTTAAATAGACTTTTTGTTTGTGTTTCTGTCCACTCTCTGCCACCCAGGAACTTCAGGTAAGATGATGCTGTTTTTAATTCACATTCGCTGGTGGATGTTTGGCGTTGCTGCCGATTTAGAGCAATGTGATGGCTTCCTCTCCCCTCCCTCCTAGCCCGTGTGTGTCTGCCTAGGACTTTGCTTATCCATATCTAGGTGTGTGGAGTAGAAAAGATCGTTTTCTTGGCTGCCTTAGTGGGAAAACGTTTCCTAAAGTCTAAGTACAAGATTGGTTATAAAAGCCGCTACGTGCCTGGGTCTACACGTTGCATGATTAGATTTCTGGACGGGCAGTGAGTTTTCCGATCCCGTGGAAAGCTCGTAATTTCGGATTAGGCAGTCGCACAACTCGACTGGCTTTGCTGTTAAATCCTTTTATTAAAATTAAAATCCGCCCTCTGCATGTATGGGTAGACCATCTACGCTTCCCACCTAATCCCTTTCTTTTCCAGGCATCAGGAGCTCTCTCTATATGGTGGCTGTAGAAATTTCTAGCCCAGCCAGAGCCCTTTTGCAAGTAAAAAGGGGAGCTAGTAATTACAGGAGCTCTGGTAGCATAGTGCCTAAGGCACTTGACTGCTCACCAGAAGACTGGTGGTTCAAACTCACCAGCCATTCCTGGGAAGGAAGATGGGGCAATCTACTTCCCTAGTGATACCGCCTTGGAAACCCAAGGAGGGGTCGCTATGAGTCGGGTCTGACTCGAGGGCACATAACAACAGTGATAATTACGCCCAGCCGACCGGCATAAGCTGGATTATTGTGGGTGGTCGGGGACATCTGATCACGCTGTGACTACATCCTGTCAGACACGCCCTCATTGGGTGCAACACACTGTCACATAGTGCACCCAGGCTCCGTCAACAGCAATAATACTTGGTTCACGGAGTCCACCTATTTGTTTGTAGAGAGGGGAAAAATTACTTCAAAGGATATGATCGCCAACATTTCTAGAATGTTCCATCATGAATATCTTGTCATTTTGGCATGCATTCTGAGTTGTCTGTTTTAATCTGACTAGCCCTGGTGGTGCAATGGTTAAGTATTTGGGTGCTAACTGAAAGGTTGGCAGTTCAGACCCACCCACTGGGGCTGCTGGGGAAAGACCTGGCAGCCTGCTCCCGTCAAGATTCCAGTCTAGAAACGCCAGGGGGCGGCTCTGCTCTGTCCCACGGGGTCGCTGTGAGTGGATCAAACTCGACAGCAGGGAGTTTGGGTTTGTTTTTTTATATGTGTGTATGTTGTTGTTATGTGCCGCTGAGTTGGACCCACCTCATGGTGACCCCTCCTTGGGTTTCCGAAGCGGTATCACTATGGAAGTAGATTGCCCAACCTGCCTTCCGAGGAGTGGCTGGTGGGTTTGAACCGGCAGCCTTCTGGTTAGCAGTCAAATGCCTCAGGCACTATGCCACTAGAGCTCCCAATATGTATATGAATGTATATAAAACAAGGAGCCCTGGTGACATACTGGTGAAGCTCTCAGCTGCTAACCACAAGGTCAGTGGTTTGCATTTCAAACCCATCAGCTGCTGCGCGGGACCTGGAGATCCCACTCCTGTAAAGATTTACAGTCTAGAAAACCTTATACGGCAGCTAAGCTCCGTCCTGTAGGTTGCTATGAGTCACAATTGATTCGATGGCCTCCAACAACATATATAAAATGATATATTTGCCATTTCAATGTACTTCCCGCATACAATTCAGTGACATTAACTCCTCCGTTCATGGTACTGTGCAGCCATCACTAGTATCCACCAATTGGCATAGTCTTTAGAGGGGCCAGACCTCAGCACCATCCTGGCTCTGACCCTAAGTTCCCACCAAGGAAATACTTCATCTCAACTTTTGCCCCTCACACAGCTGTTGCCTCTTCTACCAAGGTCCAACCACTGCTGTGGAAACACAGCGCCCCTAGAGGAC